CTCTCTGCGTGCACTGCCCAGCAGTACTGTCCTGACCAAGGTTTTTAACCTGAGTCATTCGACGGTGGGAGTTGCTGATATGGGGTAGGAGACTTTGCTGCTAGCTTCTCTGCTCTCTGGCAGGAGAATGATATGTTCCGTAACACGCCACTTTGGTTGTGATATGCGCTGGCAATCCGCAGAAGAGAAGAGAAGTGCGCCTCGCCTTCTCTGTCCCTCCGCGGCGCTGCATGATGCGAGGGTGCGAAGATGGATAGCGCACCCGTGTGTCACATTTGTGCTCCAGCCTTGTTGGCTGACGCCTCAGGGGATGCACATCGCTGCCTGCAGGTCCGCCCAGCCGCCCTCTGTGTTTTGCAGCGCAGTACTGACCGCGGTCTTAAGCCTGTGCCAGTGGAGGGTAGGAGGTTGTTTGGATTCGGGGGGGGACTACTTACTGCCCTTGCTTCCTGGGTGCCCGTGCAGAAGCTTTTAGTCTGACTAGGATCCTGCTAGCTGCAGCGCCGCCCAATCTCGACAAGCCGCGTGCTCCAACGAGGAGCCAATCCAAAACATATCCCGGCAAAGCAACCTAACAGCGATGTGAAAGAGCATATCTGGAAGCATTCATCTTAATATTCATGTAGGATTCCTGTTGTGGAGCGAACGGGACACTGCTATAAATGGATTTAGGTTCCAACGACTCACTGCTTTCGATAACATTATCTCCAAACGAGACACTGCTATCAATGGATTTACGTTCAAACGAGACATGGATTCAGCCCCAAACGAGACACTGCTATCAATGGATTTAGCCCCAAATGAGACACTGCGATCACTGGATTAATCTCTGAACGAGACACTGCTATCAATGGATCTAGTTTCGAGCGACTCACTGCTTTCGAGAACTGTATCTCCAAACGAGACACTGTAATCAATGGACTTACTTCCAAACGAGACACTGCCATCAATGGATGTAGCCCCAGAGGAGACACTGCTACGAATGGTTTTAGCCCCAAATGAGACACTGCGATCACTGGATTTATCTCCGAACGAGACACTGCCATCCATGGATTTAGTTTCGAACGACTCACTGCTTTCGAGAACTGTATCTCCAAACGAGACACTGCTATCAATGAAACACACGCGCACAAGGACATGCATGAACATTTTTTCTACACCACGGAGGCTACAGTCCACAGCATGTTGATGGGCACCGCTCACAGCATGCTGAGCAGCAGCGCTGTCACAGTGACGAAACAATAAAGATTGCAGGTGGCTGAAAAGCACCGCCGTGCTCACTGCCAAGATGCAACCACATCTCCCTGCCCTACAACTCGAAGAGGGAACGCTTGTGCACTGCATGACCGTGCATTCTGCTGCACTAAGACCTCAGCATGCTGAGGAGCAGCGCTGGTACGGAGGTCCCTCGCACGGCGTCTCGCCCACACACTACACATTCACAAAGGATCTCCTTCGATAACTGAATGGGCTGGACATCCAAGTATTTCAGTGGAGCAGTGAGTTGCGCCAAAGCGCTGACACCAGAAGTGGTGATCTTCGCGCAATCCCGCAACTTCAAGATCGATAAACTAGAGCTGTGATGCACGAGGGATTGCGCCGCTGCATCAGCCAGCTGACAGCGCAAGCTTGCATCTAGCTCTTTCCGCGATGGACAACCGATAGCCACTGTTTGTATGGCTGCGTCGGTCAGAGACTCCAGCCCACACAGCTCAAGGATTTCAATGTGCGGGCACTGCTGCGCAAGGGCACAGATGGCGGTGTCGGTAACTTTTGGCATCGGCAGACGGTCTGTGCATGGCGAGGAACTCCAGATGATCAATGAACGCAACCGTGGACAACCCCGCGCAACTGCGAGGAAAGCCGCATCTGTCAGATTTGCACATTCGTCCACATTCAATTCTTCTATTCGGGCGCACCTTTGCGCCACCGCTTGTATGGCAACATCACCAATGCCACTATCTTGGACGTGGAAGCTCTCCATGAGAGGACAGGCTTGCCTCACAATTTGCAGCGCGCCATCATTGTTGTCGTTGCCCCCAAGGTCTAGTCGCAACAAGTGAGGGCAAGCTCGCGCAATTTCTTTGACAGCATAATGTAGGCTCCTTCCATCGAAGAGAGCGCTTCCCATTCTGAATTCAGTCAGATTAGGGCAAGCCTTGGCTAGCAGCGCCAACTTCGTAGTTGTGGGAGCATGAATCTTACCGTCTTCTGAATCATGATTGAAATTCAAGCTGCGCACTGTGCTCGGACTGTCTGTCATAATCTTGTCACAAGCAAAGCAAAGTTCATCCTCGTCCACGCCATTGACGGTGACTACATCTGCACAATGAATTTCTATGAGCTCCCAGAGGGCATCCGATATCTGTTTCTTGTGAGCTGCGGTTCTCTGCGCCAGCAGGTGCTCGCGACGCTGAGGCTCGGCAGTCGGCTTTTTTATTTGATGCGGGAGGCGTCCGAAGCACAACGCATCTTTCAATAGCTTTTCCACCGCAGGCTCCTGCTGCCCGATATCGCCCCACAACTTGGACCAGCGCGCGATGTCTCTGCTAACCGCCGAGCTCTTCAGCTGCTTGTATAAGAGCAGCGCTTTTTGCGCGCAGTGCTGCGGGGTCTACTTCTGGAAGCAAAATACTCAGGGTCACTGGCCTCCGCGACGAACTGCTCGTCGTCAGCAGGTTGAGAAGCACCGCCAAGGGCCCGCAATTCATGCAGCACGTCTTTGGGGATGCTGTCCCGGTGGACTGAGAAACGTTTAGCCAAGTTGTTTTCGGCCCGCTCTTCTTCGGATGTTCCTTTGTTTTGCTTTGGTATCCGGCCGAGCTCCCGAATCGCATCCACGACCTCTTGTGCGGCGCGCGACTCTGAGGACAAAGCGCCGTCAAGGGCCCGCAATTCCTGCAAAACGTGTTTGGGGATGCTGTCGCAATGGTCCGAGAAACGTTTGGCCAACTTGTTTTCGGCCCGTTCTTGTTCGGGCGTTCCTTTCTTTCGCATCGGTATCCGGCCGAACTGCTTCACGTCCTCGACGAGCGTTTGCAGAGGACCGCTCAATGCAGCACGCTGAGGAGCACCGCTTTTCCATGCAGCAGGCTGAGGAGCACCGCTGTTCAATGCAGCAGGCTGAGGAGCACCGCTGTTCAATGCAGCAGGCTGAGGAGCACCGCGGCTAGTCTGAGAACGACCAGCATGTCTTGGCATTAAGGTGCGCAGTAGGCGCTGCGCAGTTCCTTGGAAAAGGAAATCTTCGAAAGCAGGGCTCAAGCCAAGAAGGCTACGGGGATGGTGATGATGATGATGATGATGAGGATAGTAGCAGCAGCAGCACCAGTAGCAGCAGCAGTTGCCTGTGTCTGTGACTGGTTGCACAGGGGCCGTAGAGGGGGCCGTAGAGGGGGCCGCACAGGGAGCCAGTCACAGGCACAAGGCACAGGCGACCAGTCACGTACATGTATATGTGTACGTGCATGTACATGTATGTATAAATATATGTATATACATATATATATACATATATATGTTCAGTCTGCCTTCAGCCTCGGCCTCAGCCTCAGCCTGCCTCAGCCTCAGCCTTCATCAGCCTCAGCCTCAGCCTCAGCCTGCCTCAGCATCAGCCTGCCTCAACATCAGCCTGCCTCAGCCTCAGCCTCAGCCTCAGCCTCAGCCTCAGCCTGCCTCAGCCTCAGCCTGCCTCAGCCTCAGCCTCAGCCTGCCTCAGCATCAGCCTGCCTCAGCCTCAGCCTCAGCCTGCCTCAGCCTCAGCCTCAGCCTGCTTCAGCCTCAGCCTCAGTCTGCCTTCAGCCTCGGCCTCAGCCTCAGCCTGCCTCAGCCTCAGCCTGCCGCAGTCTCAGCTTCAGCCTCAGCCACAGCCTCAGCCTCAGCCTGCCTCAGCCTCAGCCTGACTCAGCCTCAGCCTGCCTCAGCCTCAGCCTGCCTCAGCCCCAGCTTCAGCCTGCTTCAGCTTCAGCCTCAGCATCAGCATTCAGAATGCGGCCCGGGAATGGAGTTCTGGGAACTCGAAGAGCACGAAGTGGCTTACAGTTGGCTCCGGGCATTCAAAATGTGGCCCGGGAATGGAGTTCTGGGAACTCGAAAGAGCACGAAGTGGCTCACAGGTGGCTCCGGGCATTCAAAATGTGGCCCGGGAATGGAGTTCTGGGAATTCGAAGAGCACGAAGCGGCCTACAGTTGGTTCCAGGGGTTCAAAATGTGGCCCGGGAATGGAACTCGAAGGGCACGAAGTTGCTGACAGTTGGCTCCAGGCATTCAAAATGTGGCCCGGGAGTGGAGTTCTGGGGACTCGAAGAGCACGAAGTGGCCTACAGTTGGCTCCGGGCATTCAAACTGTGGCCCGGGAGTGGAGTTCTGGGGACTCGAAGACCACGAAGTGTGCAATTGTTTGCTTAAAACGAGCCCGGCCTTCGTCGGGTTCTGCCCGATCGGCTGCTCCCCGGATCCTGCCCGGGCCCTCTTGGGGAGTCGAGATGCTCTCTTTTGACCCCACTAGAAACCTATCAGTCTTCGCTGTTGGGTAAATGCTTCTTTCGTGAGCTGACAGCTGGCACCCCAAAATTCCCGGGGTGGAATTCTTGGGCGGGGCCCGGACGGGGGTCCCTGATGGCATGGGAGCCCCCCATCGGGGCCCGGTAGCCCGCGCCGATACCTATCGCGCGTCCTCGAATCGCGCGGCGCGGGGGGGCACCCCCTGCGGTCAGGAATTCGGTTTTGACCAAGAGGTCCGCGCGGAGCTCCGACAGTTCACCGTGCGTTTGTGCAGTGTTTTCTTTCCCTGGTTGTCGGTTTTCCGCTGTGCGGCTTTAACCGTGACCACCGCCTTGGGGATCGCTCTTTGGCGACCTCGGCAGGCGATGGACACTGGCCCCCAAATTTATACATATCCACCGCCCGCGGGGGTGCCACGACGTCGGCTCCCTGGCGGTGGTCACGGATACGTCCCCGCCTTGCGCGATCCTCACTTTTCGCATCGTCCTGGCGCCGAGGTCCTTACCCTGGCGATGGGCTCCTCGTTTCAGCACCCCCAGCGGCAGGCTTCCGTGCGGGAGGCCGCGCCGCTCCGCCGGCCACCGTCCGCTCAGAGGGCCGCGGCGCGGCAGGCGAGGGTGAGGGTGAGGAGAAAGAGAGGGAACGGGGAGGGGAAAGGAGGGGGGAAGAGGAGGAGGAGAAAGAGGAGGAGGAGGAGGAGGAGGAGGAGGAGGGGGAGGAGGAGGGGGAGGAGGAGGAGGAGGAGGAGGAAGAGGAGGAGGAGGGGGAGGAGGAGGGGGAGGAGGAGGAGGAGGAGGAGGAGGAGGAGGGGAGGAGGAGGAGGAGGGAGGGAGGAACCAGGAAGGGGCGCCACACGCAGGCAGGGAGCGATCGGCGCGCTGCCTCTCCGCCGTGCCACCCCGAAGGGCTCGGGATGGCGCCCGTGGTTCGCACCCGGGCGGCCCTCGAACCCGCTCGGGGCGCAAATTTGGGGGGGGGGGGCGATACAGTAGGGGCGCGCCTCAAGAAACCATCTACTTTTCGTCAGGATACCTTGGGTTTCTTCGCTCCGCGCGATGCGCGGTGACTTCCCGCGGCCGTTGAAGGAGCTGCTGCGTTCGGGGTGCTCCAGGTTTCCCCTCAGTTGCACCTCGCGCGCGGGTTATTCAGGGTTGGGTTTCTTGCGAGGGTTTCTTGCGACCGCACATTGATCGGGCCGAACGAAAGGGGGGGATAGGGAAAGGGGGGGTTACAAAACCTGCTGCATGCAGCTGGTTTCGGCCCCACCGACGGGTTCATTCCTCGATGCAAAGCCGCCTCTGGCGCCGGGAGGCGCCGGTAAAATCAGCTACGCGATCTGATTCTCCCCCCCCCCTTTTGCTATCCCCCCTGTCGCCCAGCCCGAATGAAGGGGGGGGCGATACAGCCAACCCGCATGGTAAGGATGGGCAACCTTCCCAAGGGTACCCTTGCATCCTTGCCTCCTCGGTCCGTCCCTCGCTGCTCGTGATGGCCGCGCCCCGCTTGATAGGCTTCCGGATGGGCGTCCAAGGCCCTTGCGTCCTCATCGCGCATCCTTACTCTATTGGTTGCCTGTAGATGGGGGGGGGAAGGTGCCTCTTTCGGTCCCTTAAGGCCCCCTTCCTCCTCCTCCCTCCTCCTCCCCCCTCCTCCTCCTCCCTCCTCCTCCCTCCTCCTCCCTCCTCCTTCTCCTCCTCCTCCTCCTCCTCCTCCTCCTCCTCCTCCTCCTCCTCCTCCTCTTTCTCCTCCTCCTCCTCCTGGGCCCCCTCAGCCCTCGTCGTCCCCCCAGGTATCGGCCCCCACGTATCGAGGTCCCTCCGTGCTTCGCGCCCGGGCGGCCCTCGGGCCCGTCCCCCGGGGGGCGCAGCAGCGGCCCAGCCAGGGGGGGCGACACCACTGCGACACCACGAGATCGAAGAGGTGCGAGGACCGAGCGCAGCAATTTGGCGGCGCGCAGAAGGGGGGGAAGGGGGAGGGGGGAAGGCTGCTTAGAAGGAGGCTGCTTCTTAGAAGGCGCCCGCCTTACGTCTACAGAGAAGGCCCGCACCTTCTGAGAAGCAGGGGTGCTTCTAAGAAGCCTTCCCCCCTCCCCCTACCCCCCTCTGCGCGCCGCCAAGACACGGATCGAGGGGGCGTGGATATTCGCGACGAGCCCCGCTCCCGTGGGCCATCGCGGACTTCCGCCGCCGAGCGAGGCGGCACCGGCCGCCTTTTCGGGAGGGCGCCTCCCCCGCTCCATGGATTTGGCGACCGCGTGCCAAATGTTTGGACCGCGTCCCTCGCTCCACGGATTTGGCGATTTTGGGGAGGGCACCTCCCCCGCTCCAGGGATTTGGACGCTAGTCCACGTCTGCGCGCCCCCGAGAGGTGCTTGTCTGCTGGCCTCGCTCGTCGGTGGGGCCGCTCAGAGGTGCTGGAGCACCCGCGCGCATGCCTGAGCCTCGAGCATCGGAGGCTACGGAACAGGGAGCGACACCATCCATCTTCGTGAACGGGTAGTTTCTCGCCCGAGCGGGTTTTCGTTAAAGAATTGGCGAAAGATGGGGAGGGGGGGAGGACCCCGAACTAAGCCTCAGGGTCGGTTCGGGAGTTAGCCGCGGCGATCGCGGCGGCCACAAGTCGGGACAACGTTTTTGTCGCCGGTATGCCCCTTCCCAGCCCCTTCCCTCCCCTTGATTTGCGATGCAGACGCAGCTCGTAATCAGCAGTGCAGCGATAGAGGGTTGTCAATGTATGTCCAACATGGGCCGTCATGTTTCTTTTGGTCGGTTATCGCGCAACCAAGGGAGGGAAAGGGAGGGGGAGCAGGAGGCGGACCCTGGCATCCTGTCGTGTTTTTTTCCACACCCGTCGTTTTCGCCCAGCTTCGGGCCCCTGGACTATCACATATCGATACGGCTCGAAACATGCCGCAGAAAGATGAGGTCTAGGGCTCTGGTCGTGTTTTTCGCGATGCTGCATTATTGTCGTAACGTCGGATCTCAGGGAAAGGGAGAGGGAGCAGGAGGAAGAGGATTAGAGTGCCCTGGAGGTGACTTTGGGTTGGAGCAGGATGACGAGGAGCAGGAGGAGAGGGGGAGGGAGAGCGGGAGGAGGAAGCAGAGAGGAGAGATTAGGGCGGAGGAGTGTGGGGGGATGGATGGCGGTATGGAGGGCTGGAGTAATAGAGGGATAGACGTGGAGCGGTAGGACCGAAGGGGAGCAGGTGGTTGGGCAGAAGGCAGGGAGCAGGACGAGGAATTGGTTCTAGCTGCAATGCTTCATGCAAGCCACAAATTGTGCCGCAGTGTCCGCCCATCCGCTAGTTGCACGTCCGTCATTGCAGAACATTTGGCTGCAAGTCATTTGGAGGAGGAAGAAGATGAACCCATCAGGAATTGGCAGTACCACGGCAAGATCAGCAATGGACGCCTTTTGACGGACGAGAGATCATTCCCCAAATAGCTTCTCTGTCAGGTTCCTATCGCACTCCCTAAACAGTGCTTGCACTTAGGTGTTCTTGCTTGTGTTTTGAGGAGCTGGACAGGCTTGTCGGTCTGGCGGCAATGCGTTCGCGGTCGCCGACCCGTCGCCGCATCGTCGCCGCCCCTCGTCTGGGCAGGTTTGCCGGCCTGGCAGCGATGTGCTCGCCGTCGCCGCCCCGGCGCTGCTCGTCGCCGCACGTCGTCTGGGCCATGTCGTCGGTCTGGCGGCTATGTGCTCGCCGTCGCCGCCTCGTCGCCGCCCGTCGTCTGGGCCTGTCTGTCGGTCGCCGCGCTTGTCGCCGCCGTCGCCACCCCGTCGCCGCCCCCCATAGACTGCACAACAGACATTGCACATTTTTTTTCTAGAAACGGAATAGACTCCACCACCTTCCCGAGTCCGGAATTATCCGCTCCGCTTTTCGCATTGCAAGTTGCATGCGATTCCGCCCTATCGTCAATCCGACGTCTGAATTCGTACCATATTAACCAAGCCGGTGTCGACCCCGTCCCCGGCCATCTTCTGCAAAAACACCTATGCGCGCACATTCGTTTATAAAGAATCATCCGTTCCCCCGAATCCCTAGCAACAAATAAAAACGAAATGCGCACGCGCGCGTTGTCGCGCGCGCGTGCCGAAATCTTTAAAGCTAACTTTCAGGTTCCGTAAGGATTTCAAAATCGAGTGGCCAACAATTTTTTCTTTATATATATATAACAATTCAAGGTTTCGCAACACGGGTTTTCAAACACTTGCGCGCGTTTTTTTCTGCGAATTCTCAAAAAGAAAACCTAGGTTTCCAGCACTTTCATAAACATGCTACGACACGAGCTTCGCGCGCGCATGTCAAAATCGTTCGAACGCCCTGGCGTGCGTGCCGTCGCGAGGTCCTTGGCCAAAAAGATAATGAAGTGCACGCGCGCGCGTCGTCGCGAGCCCATGCCGAAATCCGTCAAACATTTGCTGCGTCGTAAGGTTTCCAGAACCGAGTATCCCAGCAGCATGTAAAACAACCGGAGTTCGTAGTATTTTTATTGAATTATCCCGGCGAAGCAACCTAACAGCGATGTGAAAAAAACATATTTGGAAACATTCAAGTTAAGATTCATGTACGATTCGTGTTGTAGAACGAACGAGACATTGCTATGAATGGATTTAGGTTCGAACGACTCACTGCTTTCGATAACTGTATCTCCAAACGAGACACTGCTATCAATTGATTTACGTTCAAACGAGACACTGCCATCCATGGGTTCAGCCCCGAACGAGACACTGCTATCAATGGATTCAGCCCCAAATGAGACACTGCGATCACTGGATTTATCTCTGAACGAGACACTGCTATCAATGGATTTAGTTTTGAACGGCTCACTGCTTTCGAGAACTGTATCTCCAAACGAAACACTGCGACCAATGGAATTAGTTCCAAACGAGACACTGCCATCAATGGATCTAGCCCCAAAGGGGACACTGCTACGAATGGCTTTAGCCCCAAATGAGACACTGCGATCGCTGGATTTATCTCCGAACGAGACACTGCTATCCATGGATTTAGTTTCGAACGACTCACTGCTTTCGAGAACTGTATCTCCAAACGAGACACTGCTATCAATGAAACACATGCGCACAAGGACCTGCAGGAACATTTTTCTACATCACGGAGGCTACAGTCCACAGCATGTTGATGAGCACCGCTCACGGCATGCTGAGCAGCAGCGCTATCACAGTGACGAAACAGTAAAGATTGCAGGTGAGTGAAAAAGCACCGCCGTGCTCACTGCCAAGATGCAGCCACATATCCCTGCCCTTCAACTCGAAGAGGGAACGCCTGTGCACTGCATGAACGTGCAACCTGCTGCACTAAGACCTCCGCGTGCTGAGGAGCAACGCTGGTACGGAGGTCCCTCACACGGCGTCTCGCCCACACACTACAGATTCACAAAGGATCTCCCTCGATAGTTGAATGGGCCGGACATCCGAGTATTTCAGCGGAGCGGTGATTTGCGTCAAAGCGCTGACACCAGAAGTGGTGATATTCGCGCAATCCCGCATCTTCAAGATCGATAAACTAGAGCTGTGATGCACAAGGGATTGTGCC